GAACTCCAGCACCTGAGACTTCACGGCTGCCTCACAGGAGGCTGAGTCAGAAGCGAAGTCAAGACTCGAATCCGGCTCTCCAGGAGATGTGGAAGCCCCAGCTGGCAACAGAACCGCTGCAGTGACGTAACTCCTACTCCAAACACTCACCCCACGTGTTTGCATTTAGTGCTACAGAGCCTGGATTTACTTTTTTTTTTTTTTTTTAATGTGCTTTTTTTATTCGGGGAAGGTTCCTAGCTCTCATCATACTCTCTCAAGTGCCAAAGATCCAAAAATGGGTTGACCTCCAGCTCTCAGAATCCTCTCTTTGTTCCAGGAGCCAACATTTCCTTAATTCGCACATGGCAGGTGCAGGGATGCATGTGGGGGAGGTGATGGGAGCTGGCACACGCGCAGCATCTAATGCGTGGTCCCTGCATTTGTCACTCGGTTTATCAGGCAGGCACGGGAGAGGCCTGGTCCTGCGGAAAGCTGAGCACGTGTGTGCACAGAAGGTGTGTTTGCATTGCATCCTGGAGGGCCACCCAGGACTCCTCAGGTGAGCAGGGAGCTAACTTGAAATCATTCCCTCTTCAATCATTTCTATTGCAGGCGCTTTGAGGAAAGCACGCCCACGTTTGTTTATTGTGCAGTGTTCAGGTGTCGGGTTCTTCATCTCTCGTGTGCTGGGGCTGAGGCCAAGGAATTTTTTCCCCCTGAGTCTATGTTCCACGATCTTGTCCAAACTGGATACCAGATCCTGCCTGCTTAGCTCGAGAAAGGCATTTTATCTCTGGCGCCTGGGTCACATCAGAGCTTATATTTAAAGTGTGAGTGATGACAAGAGACCGCCGCGAAGTCCCTGGCTCTGGCCCATCCCAAGAGCACCCTCCTTTCTCCACCCAAGGCTCTGCAAGTCCACCTTGCAACAGCTGGCGGGAGGCGGAGCTGGCCAGAGGAGGAGGAACACACATCTCTGCCCTCCAGCTGATGCTCCAGTCCCTGGGGTCTCCTTTTCTTGCAGGGTTCTTCGGGGACTCCAAGGGGCTTGGAAACTCAGCCCCCACCCTGCCCGGCCCTCCCTGTATGCTGGTTGGCAAAACAAATGCTTATTAGCGTAAGGTTTACACCAAAGTGATACTCTTTTTTTTTAAAAAAGGTTTATTAATTTATTTGAAAGGCAGAGTGGCAAGGGGGAAGGGGGAGAGGGAGAGGGAGAAGGAGGGAGGGAGGGACAGAGAGAGAGAGAGAGAGAGAGAGAGAGAGAATCTTCCATCCAATGGCTACAACAGCCAAAGCCAGGAGCCAGGAAGTCCATCCCAGTCTCCCGTGTAGGCAGCAGAGACTGAAGCTCTTAGGCCATCCCCCGCTGCCTTCCCAGGTCCATTAGCAGGCAGCTGGATTGGAGGTGGAGCAGCCAGGACCAGAACCTGCACTCTGACATGGGAGGCCAGTGTTGCAAGCGGTGACCTAACCTGCTGCGCTCTAACAGCTGCCCTCTATTTTTGTTTTTCTAAAGTCAGATACACAGGTTATCCGTAATCTTTGATTGATGATATGCTTTCATCATTGGTTTGTAGATGCCCCTGTCTTGCTAATTTAGGTTGTAAATTAATTAAGCGAATAGTAAGACAAGTACATGTCAATCAACAACCCTATAGGAAAGCTAGAAGCTTCACAAGAACAGCATCTAATGAAGCCCCCTCCATCTGCCTGTGCTCCCACCCACACAGATCACGAAACCTACGCTCATTCCATCTCCATATAGTGTTATTGTATCTGTAGATAGTCCTAAAGAGGAATCTCTCAAAACGATTCTCAGCTTTACTCACATAAAAAGGATATCGTGTTGTACATAATCTTTCAAGACTAGTTTTTTTCCCATTGACTAGTGTTTTGCTAAAATTCATCCATATATATCACTGCATTTCACTGCAGCTTGCTCATTTTGGCTGCAGCTTGCATGAATGTACCAGGGGTCAGCACCCCCCTCCCACTGAGGGAGCTGCACTGTTTCTAGGTCTTTGCACACTGCCAGTGTGACATTAGCATAAATGTCTCCTATTGAACGTGTGCACCTCTATCTCCAGGGAGCCATTTACACTTCCCAGCCCCAGGTGAGGGACGCCCCGGGATCCGCACCCTCAGTGTGTTTCCGTAGTTTGGGATTCCTGTTGTCAGTTTGCTCTCCTTTTGGACAGATCAGCTTGCCTCTCCTCCAGCAATGCCTGGGAATGCCCATTTTCCCAAACTCTTTCCAACACTGGGGACCCTTTAAAACTTGTTTACTGTTTGAGGGACAAAGATAGCATCCACCACCCAACCCCCCAGCTGTTTAACTCTGCAGCAAGGCACTGTGTCCTCCAAACGATGAGAGAGAAGGGGCTGGGCTCTGAGAATTGTTGCCTGTCTGATAACTTCTGTGGCTTTTCTGGAACTGATTCCCTGGCGGCTCAGCTGCTTTCCCGTGCCCTCACCGAGGCGACACTGTTGGAAGGAGGCAGTGAAGGGGGCCCGGGTGGGACGCAAGCCCAGCTCAGCACAGTGGAAGCCTGTCTCCTGGTCCCGGCCCCGTCAGTGTCAGATCACTCCTTCTCCTGGTGAAACGGGCATTATCCGCCCCCAGCTCCCCACTGCCCCCGCCCCGCAGAAAAGCCAGCATAACGCTACCCTTTGTTATTGGAATCGATGAATGTGAACTGCCTTCCCCACTCTGCAGTAAAAAGAACTTGCTATTTTGGGCTTGGTGACACAGCCAAAACCAAGCAGAGAGCAGCAGGCCGCAGCACGAGCTAATAGCTTTTCTCCGAGAGGGAGGAAGGACCCACAAGCAAACGGAAGGAGCTTCCGAAACGCGACGGCTGGCAGCCTGCAGCCCATTGCCCGTCCTTCTGCTGACAGCCACATTTCAAAGCCGAAAACCCGACACTTCAGAGTAAGCACCCCGATTAATCCTGAACTTTCTTAAACCAAATGAACTTGTCAGGCGTTGACTGATGCGTCCCTGCGTACTGTGCACGGGCCGAGGTGATGGCAGGGAAGGTAATTCTGTCTTGGAGGGGATTTCTCGCCACCAAAAATTGTGCTGATTAGAGAAGAACCCAAAAACACTGTCGAAGAATATGACTTCCTCTGCTGGTGCCCTTCAGCGAAATTCCCCATCGAGTCCCCAGAGGCTCCAGGCATGTTCACATGGGTGCTCCTAAGAGGGGAAACTGATTTAAACACAGGCACGGCTGGCGCATTACCACGGCCCGGCACAACAGGCCAGAGGCCAAGTCAGGCCGCCCTCTTGCTCTGTTGCTAAGCTTTTTATCATGGGAAGTTTCAAATAAGCAGCAAAGTAAGGATAACAACGTTATCAGCCCCCCATTACCCCCATTACCTATCCCTGGCTTCTGCAGGGATCAGCATGTGCCAATCTTGTTTCTTTCTATGCCCCCCTCCTCCCTCATCCTCATTTTAAAGCAAATCACAGTTATTTTTATATTTAAATGTTCTGTATGTATCTGTAAGGAATAAGGACTCTTTTTTCAATAACTAGTACATCACATTTTTTAAAAGTTTCACCTATTTGCATATTTGAAAGGCAGAGTGATATGAGGGAGTTGGGAGGAAGAAAGAGAGAGAGAGAGAGAGACAGAGAGAGAGAGATCTCCTATTCACTAGTTCACTCCCCAAATGCCCACTACAACCAGGGCTGGGCCAGGCGAAGCCAGAAGCCAGGAATTCCACCTGGATGTCCCACGTGGGTGGCAGGGGCCCAGGCACTGCAGTCTCCCAGGCACATTAGCAGGGAGCAGGATCTGAAGCAGATGTGGGACTCTATCCCAGGCACTCTGTCCAAAGCAGCTGCTTAACCTGCAGTACCACAGTGCCTGAACAACACTACATCATGTCTAAAGAATTACTAGAATTTCCTTAACCTAGCATCCTACTCTGAAGTTAAATTGCCCTGAGTTTCCTAAGGTATTTCTTTCTTTTTTCTTTTTTCTTTTTTTTTAACAGGCAGAGTGGACAGTGAGAGAGAGAGACAGAGAGAAAGGTCTTCCTTTACTGTTGGTTCACCCTCCAATGGCCGCTGCAGCCAGCGCGCTGTGCCGATCCAAAGCCAGGAGCCAGGTGCTTCCTCCTGGTCTCCCATGGGGTGCAGGGCCCAAGGACTTGGGCCATCCTCCACTGCCTTCCTGGGCCACAGCAGAGAACTGGCCTGGAAGAGGGGCAACCGGGACAGAATCCGGTGCCCCTACCGCGACTAGAACCCAGGGTGCTGGCGCCACAGTAGGAGGATTAGCCTAGTGAGCCGTGGCGCCAGCTAAAGGTATTTCTATAATGGTTTATTTTAATCAGAAGCAAAACAAAATCATTTGCATTTGTTAATATTTCATGTCTATAAGTGAAAACTTATAAATTTAAAATGTTAATTTATAACTCTTTTTTTTTGGCCCCTTCAAAATTGGTTGGTGTTGCTGAACATCAAGAGTCTTTCAGTCACCATGTAATAAACCACAACAATCAATTGGTTGTGCCCTCCAGGTCAAGAATTCAGAAGGGGCAAAGAGCCGACGTCTGGACCCTCCGCTGGGAAGGTTCAGCTTGGTAACGACTTCATTTCTGGGAGCTGGACGCAGCTGCAGGCTTGTTTACTCACGCCGACATCTGGGCCTAAGTGCTCAAAGCCGGGCCTGCCGGCCAGCGCACCTACACGGGGCCGCTCCCGTGGCGTGGCAGGCTCCGGACGCTCCAGCATCTCACACGGCAGCTGAGGCCTATCAGCGCATGCGCTCCACCCAACAAGGTGGCCGCTGCGTCACTATTTATGATGTAATCTCAGGGAGCACAGTCAGTTTCCCTGTGCTCTGTTGAGTACCAGTCGCAAGCTTACCCAGACTCCAGCGGAGTGGAAGGAGACTGCGGGGCAGCGTCCAGTAAGAGCATGGGGGATGGAGACACTGTTGCCTCACTTGGAGGTTAGGGCCGTCAGGCGAGCCTGCCCTTGCTACAAGTAGCCAGGACAGCTGTGGCAAACAATGGAGGCCTGGGGAAAACAGCAAATGGGCAGCTTGTTTGCAGCGCCACGTCTTACAGCTGCGCACATGTGCCCTCAACAACCGAGCTGGAGAACTGGGTGACATTCAGCGCCACTTGCCACACCTGTGAGTTATCTGGGCCCGTGTCTCCAGAAGGGAGGAGCACCTCTCCAAACACACGTACGTAAGGGACCCTGTGGGAAACTAGTGTCCCTAAACGGACAGTAAAGGTCACTGACTCTAACTTGTACTCACTCAGGGTCTGTGAAACACGCCGCTTTGAGAACGTCAGAACTGTTTAAGCTGCACACAAAAGACGGCCAAGAAATATCTCAGACTATAACGCTGGATTGGCTCAATATTTTTTTTAATTGTGCAAGCTTTTATCACCGGGTTCTGTTTTACTGCACTGGGCTTGAATGTTCTAGACCGGTCCTTGAAGAAGCTGAGACACTGTGTTCCAACGACTGAAGGACCCTGCCTGACCCATCTGCTTGTCAGCCTCTGCCAGATGCAGAGAGTAGGCACAGGGTTTCTAGGAAGCCAGGCCAAACTCAACTGAGGGTTTGCTTTTCCTCATTCATTCTTCATTAACAAAGTTTTGCATTTCAGTTAAACCCCCTGGAAAGCCATACTTCCATTTATGTTTATGGTTATATCAAGACAAGAAAATAACAGCAAAGTAATTTCTGGAGGTTTTCAAGAGTAGGACAGCAGCGCACATCAGTGGGTTGGAGAAGAGCAGGCATGTCATGGAGCCCGGCTATCACTTTCCGTCAAGGAGATCAGCATTATTTTTTTAAAGGATGTATGCATTTTATTTGAAGGGCAGAGTTAGAGAGATCTTCCATCCACTGGTTCACTCCCCAAATGGCCACAATGGATGGAATTGGGCTGATCTGAAGCCAGGAGCTTCTTCCAGGTCTCCCACATGGGTTGAGGGGCCCAAACACTTGGGCCATCTTTCACTGCTTTCCCAGGTGCATTAGCAGGAAGCCAGATTGGAAGTGGAGTGGCCGGGAACTGAACCAGTGCCCATATGGGATGCCGGTGCTATAGGTGGTACCTTACCTGCTACTCCACAATGCTGGTCCCCAATGAGATTATTGAAATACTGTTAATCAGGTTGTTAAATCATGCTGGTGTTCATCAGGTGGGTGGAGGAAAACCTCATATGGCAAGGCCCAAGGCTCTTCTCATTTTTTAAAAATCTAGGCATGGATTTCATTTTTTAAAAGATGTATTTATTTATTTGTAAGGCAGTTAGAGAAAGAGAGAAGAAGAGACATAGAGAAAGAGATCTCCTGTCCGCTGGTTTACTCTCTAAATGGCCACAACAGATGGAGCTGGGCCAGTCCGAAGCCAGGATCTCCTGCTGCTTTCCAAGGTGCATTAGCAGAGAGCTGGATTAAGTGGAGCAGCCGGGACTCGAACCAGCACCCATATGGGATGTTAGCACTGCAGGGCTGTGACTTAACCTGCTATGTCACAGTGCCGGCCCCATTTCATTTTTTTTTTTTTTTTTTTTTTTTGACAGGCAGAGTGGACAGTGAGAGAGACATAGAGAAAGGTCTTCCTTTGCCATTGGTTCACCCTCCAATGGCCACCGCGGCCGGCATGCTGTGGCCGGCGCACCGCCCTGATCTGATGGCAGGAGCCAGGTGCTTCTCCTGGTCTCCCATGGGGTGCAGGGCCCAAGCACTTGGGCCATCCTCCACTGCCTTCCCGGGCCACAGCAGAGAGCTGGCCTGGAAGAGGGGCAACTGGGACAGAATCCGGCGCCCCGACCGGGACTAGAACCCGGTGTGCCGGGGCCGCAAGGCGGAGGATTAGCCTAGTGAGCCGTGGCGCCGGCCTGGTCTAGAGTGTTAATCAACCACACTTTTCTACACATTACACTGTACTCACCCTCCCAAGGCCCTTCTTTAGTTTTGCATACACATTTATTGATGGATGGATTCCCTCCTATTCTTGCTTCTCATTCCTGTCCCCCCATAGGCAACCATCCTAACATATTTAATTGTTTCTTAGCTTGTGTGTGTTCATGTGATGTGTGTGTTGTTTGGTTTGCACACTTTTTTTTTAATTTTTTTTATTTATTTGAAAGAGTTAAAGAGAGAGGTAGAGCCAGAGAGAGAGTTCTTCCATTCTGCTGGTCTACTCCCCAAATGATCACAATGGCCAGAGCTGAGCTGATCTGAAGCCAGGAGCCAGGAGCTTCTTCCGGGTCTCCCATGCAGATGCAGGGGCCCAAGGACTTGGGCCATCTTCTGATGCTTTCCCAGGCCATAGGAGAGAGCTGGATTGAAAGAGGAGCAGCCAGGACTCGAACCAGTGCCCATATGGGATGCGGGCGCTGCAGGGTGGGGTTTTAACACACTGTGCCACAGTGCCGGCCCTTGTACATGTTTTTATTTACATCACCGGTGTTGTCTTCCTGATTTCACCCCGTACCCTGTGTCTAAGACATCAGCCCATCAGTCTAACTGCTGCAGAGTACTCCAGTGTGTCCACCACATCTGGCCCCTCCGGCTCCCCAGTAACGGGCACCCCAGCTGCTGCCAATAGTACTGCCCTCACAGTCTCCCACGTGACTCACACTGGACCCACGTGGGCATCTGTTTAGCACACCTCTTACCCACGTGGTGCTTTTTCATGTCTCAGAGGACGGCATCTCTCCCTTCTGCAGGTTGCAGCCCTGTGGTAAAGCGCTTGGCAAAGTGGAGCTCAGGCTGACTTGAGTCCCAGCTCCAACTCACTACAGCCTTGTTCAGGGCACAGCCTGCACAGCTGTAGGAGGTGGCCCTCCCAATAAACCTCCCCACATTGTCACTGCCACGAAGCTCCTGTTGTCTGCAAAGTCTCTTCTGGCTGGAGTAGGAGGGGAGGTGTCGCTGCCTACAGAAATCTCATCTCGGGCTACGTGCACATTTAATTTGACCGAGGAGCACCACGCTGCTGGAGCACTTTATCCTGGGGCTGACAAAATCTGTGCAAGCACCATGGCTTCACAGCGGGCCCCACGGGAGCTGCAGGGTCAGTTATGGCCAAACACACTTGTGGAGAAGCAGAGCAGCCTGCCTGAGGCCAAGGCAAGGGCACGGTACTATGTTCACTCACTTGTCTTGGAGATGACTAAAAAATAAAACATATTTCCCTTCACATTGATGTCCTTGCATGTGCAGGACACAGAGGAGGCTGGCCTCATCCCCAGGACACTGCTCTCAGGGGCTTCGCCCAAGTGCTGGAGATCTGGCCCTGAGCCACGCTGCCTCTGGCCCTGCTGAGCGTCCTGTGACATCCAGTGACAGACATAAATCAGGGCTGACAGCTCCCACTCCAGGACAGCACTGCGGGCTTGAAGGCAGCCATCCAGCACAGCTTTTCTTTCTTCTCTCTCTCTCTCTTTTTGGACAGGCAGAGTTAGACAGTGAGAGAGAGACAGAGAGAAAGGTCTTCCTTCCATTGGTTCACCCACCAAATGGCCGCTATGGCTGGCACTGCACTGATCTGAAGCCAGGAGCCAGGTGCTTCCTCCCTGTCTTCCATGCAGGTGCAGGGACCCAAGCACCTGGGCCATCCTCCACTGCCCTCCTGGGCCACAGCAGAGAGCTGGACTGGAAGAGGGGCAACCGGGACAGAATCCCACGCCCCGACCGGGACTAGAACCCGGTGTGCCGGCACCGCAAGGCAGAGGATTAGCCTAGTGAGCCGCGGCACCACCCCAGCACAGCTTTTCAAAGCTGCTCAGCTTCAAGATCCATCAGAAACTGAGTGACCATTCACATAAGATCTGTTTTTTTTCAGCCTGGTTACAACAACCAGGTGTGGAGGGCGGTGAAACCCCTCAGGTCAAGCTGCTCCTTTCCTTTCATGCTCAGGTTTCCTCCTCTGTCATGCGAGGGTACGTCACAGGCAGAACTTCGACAAGCAGGCAAAGACTCAGTGATGATGAAAAATGATCCCAGAAATCAAATTACTGGTGTGTTTCCGGACTGTGCTTGCAAACTTAGAATTACAGGTCGGAACTCACGGTCAGCCTGGGGGCAGGCCACTATGCAAGGATGTGAGCCACAGTCACCGCCATGACCACGACCTAAGTCAGCAAGGAGGTGGACTGGAATACAACGCAAAGGAACAGGGGAAGAAAAGCCCAAAAAGGGGTCCAGAAAATAGTTGTTTCTGAGTGGCCCGTGCCATAAAAATCATAGCATGTGCTTGGCATTCTGAACAAAGTGCTTAAGTTAAAACCTGGAGATGACCACCACAGGGTAAGAAAAACCAAGAGATTCACCAGTGACCTGGCTGGTTTGGCCAAAAACACAGACACTCACCATGCAGTGGAACCAGACTTATCTTTCTGGAATGGCTCCCACCTGGCTCCTCCCTTTCCATCCCTTGCCCAGCAAATGCATGCCCCTGTCAGGGTCCTGGAGCCTGCCCGCTCCCGCAGTGTCTCTGGGTTAGATCCCGGCTCTGACTCCCAGGGCTCACTAACTCATATCACTGGCTTCTTGGTATTTCCACACTGGCTTCCTCCGTGCTGAGAATCCACGCCCGGCATCTCTCCCCGCTGTCAGACCAGGGCCCCACTCTTTGATCCTTAGCAATGACGTCGACGAGAACAGGCTCATGGCAAGGTCTTGGGTAGGGCTGGACTTCTCAGGCCCTTTCTAACCTCTCTTCTACCTGAGCCCACTCCTAAGCTAAGCCATGTTTGTTTATTTATGTGCTTATTTATTGGATTTTCAAATATCTTCTCAGAGGCTCAAATATCATATAAATTTTTTTAAATATTTATTTATTTACAAGTCAAAATTACACAGAGAGATGAAGAGACAGAGACAGAAAGAGAGAGATCAAACTTCAGTCTGCTGGTTCACTCCCCAAATGGCAGCAATAGCTGGGGCTGGGCCAGGCTAAAGGCAGCAGCCAGGAACTTCGTCCAGGTCTCCCAAGTGGGTGTGGGGGCCCAGGACTTGGGTCATCTTCTGCTGTTTTCCCAGGCACATTAGCAGGGAGCTGGATCGAAAGTGGAGCAGACTAGAACTGGCGGCCATATGGGATGCCGTGACAGGTGACAGCTTTACCTGCTATGCCCCAACACTGGCACCCTCATACAAATTTTTAAGGAGCAACTATTTAGAATGATCGAGAAGCTATTGTGCTACCAGAAGGCAAGGGAGATTTGCGTTGGCTCCTGAGGAAACACCGGGCCTGGGGAGGCCGCGGGCACGGTGATGAGAACTTCACCTCACTCATGAAGCCTTCGAGGCGCACACAGCACAGGGGACACTGCGTGGCCTGGCTGCAAGTGGGGCAAGGCCAGGGCTCCTTTCAGCTCTGCTAACGCTTCAGGAGGGTGGCTAGATGCTGCCCCCACAAGCTATGATTTTGTCCTTCTGAGAAAGTACCTACCCCAGAGGAAGAAAGAGGGTTGAGAGCCTGTCTCATATTCCAGGAGTTCCAGTTACCTGGCCTGAGCCCCCGCAGGGTGCACCTGTTCACTTCCATTTTCCTACCACCTTTAGGGGGCCCTGGGAAGCATAATCGTGAGTGTTCACATCCCTTTAGTAAAGGACACTTTCAACGAGTCAAACAGCTTTTACCTGTTACCCAAGCCCCCTGTGCCACTTACCCATTCAGAGCTACAACAAAAGGCTTCTACTGAAGAAAACCTCCCAGAGAAACTGAAGAGCCGCAGGCACAGAAGACCTGGCACTGTACAGTTCCCGGGGCTCCTGGGAATGCACAGGTGAGCAGTCCCCGCCCCCTCGGCTGGGGCTCCGGCAGGTGAATGAGAAAGTTCTGCTCCGTTGCCTCAGTCACAGCTAGGTAATCCTACATCTGCACACCAGGCTCCTGCAGTAATGCCGAATCTGCTCCACTTCCTCCAGTTCTCACCAAGAGCTGCGTTCCAGTTTCAGTGTGGAGGCCAGCAACGGCAGATGACATCACCTCCTCCCCACAATCATTCACTTCAGAGCTAAGTCACTCGCCTAAACTTCCTTTGGAAAGCCAGGACCAGGGATTAGAGTTCTCACATGGGGTACTCAGCTCGCCTAGCCCTCACGCCTATAAGACGAAAATCCTCAAAAGCAGCCCCCACGGTGTATCACTAGGGCTTGGGACTTGGACTTTACCAGAATTCTGAAAAATACGGACTTACTCCATTTGATCACATGTCGTATCTTCACATTTTATTCTTCATTCTGAAGGCATCATAGTACTCAGAGCTACAGGGTGAGAGGCCAGCAAAATGAGAAAAAAAGACAACACAGGCAAGTACATACACAACGGAGCTGTACAGAGTTGGCGTAGGCTCAGAGACAGCTGAAGAACGCAACAATGGGCTATACACTGAGAAGTTACTGACGTGTACGTCTTTCCAGAAACAAGTCATCTGTGGCCCATGGGGAGATGTGAAATACTGCCATCACGCAGGCTCTGCAGGGGGATGGTTTGGCCTGGCCTTGTTGATAAAAGAGAGTGAGGAGATCTCATAGCAAACCTAATTTTTATTATTTATTTATTATGTACTTGTGGGTGAGAAATTACAGGGATGAACTCTGCAGGAAAAGAGAGGCTGCCTCTTCATGAGCGATTCCCGTGGAGTCCGTGAACTCTCCGTGGGATGGGCCCGTGTCCTGGTGCCCTGCCTGGCTGCACGGCGGCACACACAGCTCAGGAACGGGAGCAGCTGCTGTGGACAAGGGACTGACCTGCTCATCCCCAGCACAGTGCACCGGCATCTGCCAAGCGCCTCATTCTCTTGGTTTCTGTTTCTTTGGAAACACTTTAGCAATTTATTTGACATGTAATGGCATATTTAGTACTATTCATAAAGCTGAGAAAATACAGTCACATAAAAATGGGTTTGCATTGCAAGGGATATACTTGTGTGTGTGTGTGTGTGTGTGTGTGTGTGTGACAGAGAGAGAAGTATTTTATGTGACAAAGCCAACTGAATTATCCCACATAGAAATGATACACATATTCCTTTGTAACGCTTCCTTTCAGTGTTCCGTTAAGTAGTGCTGTACTCAGGACCAGCACTGGGGCACAGTGTGTAAAGCTGCCCACCAGCTGGGGTGCCAGCATCCTATATGGGTGCTGGGTCATGTCCACTTCTGATTCACTTCCTTGCTAATGGCCTGGGAAAAGCAGAAGGTGGTCCAACTGTTTGGGGCCCTGCCACCTACATGGGAGACCCGGATGAAACTCCTGACTCCTAGCTTCACCCTAGCTGAGCCCTGGCCATTGTGACCATCTGGGGAGTGAACCAGTGAATGAGAGATCTGTCTGTCTGTCTTTCTCTCTGTTTCTCCATCTCTCTAACTCTTTCAAAATAAATAATTTTTTTAAAAAGAGAATGTTATATAAACAGGTTGATTTACAAAGTTCCTAGGAATTCACATGAAAAAAAAAAGTTTGCTTCCAAATCTTACCTTTTTTCTCTGATTTCCAGCAAGTCTTATTTGAAAAGCTTTAAAACTGCATGTTCTGTAAAACTAATAACTATTCTCAAATTTACATTCTTAGAGTTTAGATTTCTTAAAATGAAAAAAAAATTCCACGCATGCTCTCAGGAGGAACCGCAGGTTCTGGCAGCTAGGCCCGCCCTCCGCTCCTGCCCCACTAATGCAACAGCCACCTGACTGGTTCCAGCCTCGCCCCCCGCCCTTCACGCCAGGTTCTCTTCCTGACGCACATGTCCAGTCCTGCCACTTCACTGCTAGGCATTTAGTGCTTCCCTCACCCACCAAAAGTCTCCCAGCTCCTCAGCACAGCACTCAGCATTCTCTGTGGGCAGGGCCGGCTGTGGCACAGCAGGTGAAGCCACCACCTGCAATGCCCACATCCCAGATGGGTATCAGTTCAGTCCTGGCTGCTCCACCTCTGATTCAGCTCCCTGCTAATGTGCCTGAGAAAGCAGCGGAAGATGGCCCAAGTGCTTGGGCCCCTGCGTCCATGTGGGAGACTTGGAGAAAGCTCCTGGCTCCAGGCTTCTGCTTGGCACAGCCCTGGCCCATGTGGCCATTTGGGGAGTGGATCAGTGGACAGAAGATGTGTCTCTCTCTCCTTTTCTCTCTGTAACTCTGACTTTAAAAAACAAAGTTCTCTGTGGCCTGTCCCTGACTTCCTGGAACAATGTACTTCCCAGGGCTCTCCCCCTCCACAGACACCCTTCTCCACCACGTGTTTCAGAGCATAGTCCACGCTTTCCCCGGCACAGAACCACTGGACCCACCTGCAGGGTAAGGAGCACCATAGCCCAGTGTATAAGCACCCACCTTCATGTCAGATCAGATTGGACCTGGCTCTGTCACTTGCCAGCTCTGTGACTTTGAGAAAAGTCACTTCATCTACCTGAGCCACAGGTTTCTTCAGGTCTCGAATGGGATAATGACGGTGCATTTCCCATAGCGTTGCTGGGAGGATCCCATAAATGGTTATCACGATGCCTCGTGCATACCTGACTCTGCCTCTCTCTGTCACTTTGCCTTTCTAGTACAGGAAAATATACAATTTAAAAAACCATTCACTATATGCATGATGACTCTTATGCCCTGCACTTCCATCTGCCGAGGTCCATCTATCTGTGGAGCTGACACCATCCCATGCAGCCTTCCCACTGCCCCCAGGTCAGAGTCGTCGCCTCTCCTCTCAGCTCCCACATCTCACTCATGCCTCTTTCTCAGCCTCACTTGTATTATGTACAATTACTTATATACACAGCTTCCAAGACTGCTTTACGTGCAGTAAATGTCCTGGGGAATGAAAGATAAATAAAATTTGGTTCTTTTGTCACGTAAGGGCTCACATGCTATGGAGCAAACAGAAACTGGCAACTCTCATGCACGTTACCAACACTTGCTGAATAAAGTTGTGGTTCGTTATCATCATCACAAAATTCTGTTTCCCCAAGGTTCCCTTTTATGGTAGAATCTCAAGGACACACTAGATTCTCATCCAGGGACCACTTCCCCTAAAACTAAGCAGAATGTAACTCTCAACAGCAGGTACAGTGAAATGTAATAGGACTGTGCTGACTTTCGTGCCTATTGGTGCTGGTGTCACATTCAAAAGACACCATCAAACTAAGATTTCATCTACCCACAGAGCTTTCGCCAAAATACACAACGTTTTAGGGCTGTGAGTCACTTCTGGCCTCCTGTTCACCACAGTGGTTGTGATGTGTGTTCTTGGTGTATCTGTAATCCAGGGTGAGGGCTACACATCCACACTCTGTCCCCTAATCCTGACTTCGGGCAGTCAAGGCCATGAGGTAAAGGACCATGGGGCTACAGAAATCCTGACCGCCGAGGGAGTGCTTGCCTTAGACTAGATGGAGCTCTAAGTCACTGCCAGTTCTCAGTGTTGTCAAGACTTGGAGTGAGGCTGCCCAGGCTCCTGCCTCACCCACATACCAGAAGACAACACCTGCAGTGTCTACAGGGAGGAAGCAATGCAGCCGGACTGCATTCCTCACCACGTGTCATCAAGGTGGCTTCTCGTGAAACAACCGACCGACCACAGAGGAGCAGAGGCCCTGGGGCGGCGCTATCCACCCTCTTCCAGGACCTGTGGGAGAGGCTATGCTGGCTCCTCCCCTGCCTCTGCTGAGCTCCAGCTCCGTGGGGAACTGTAGGAGAAGCAGCGTCATTACTCACGGGCGGGCGGTTCCACGTTGCTGAACATAATAATGTGCTTCCCAAACACAAAGGTCAAACGGGGGCAGGTGTGCTACGCAGCAATTAACCTGCTGCTTGCAACACCCACATCCCATGTCAGAGTGCCTGCATTTGAGTCCCGGCTCTGCTTCCCGTCCTGCTTCCTGCTAATGGGAGCCTGGAAGGCGGCAGGTGATGACAAGCACTTCCAGTCTCTGCCACCCACACGGGAGACCCAGATGGAGCTCCAGGCTCCTGGCTTTGGCCTGGCCTGGTCCTAGCTGTCGTGGGCATTTGGGAAGTGAATCAGCAGATGGAAGACTGATTTCTCACTTTCTCCTACTCTCCCTTGCTGCTGTTCTGCTTTCAAATAAATAAAAATAAAGAAATAAAACTTCTTTTTAAAAGGTCAAGGGCCGGCACTGTGGTGTACTGGGTAAAGCTGCCACCTGCAGTGCCAGCATCCCATATGGGGACTAGTTCGAGTCCCGGCTGCTTCACTTTTGATCCAGCTCTCTGCTTTGGCCTGGAAAAGCAGTAGAAGATGGCTCAAGTCCTTAGGCCCCTGCACCGCTTGGGAGACCCGGAGGAAGCTCCTGGCTCCTGATTGGCGCAGTTCCAGCCACTGTGGCCAGTTGGGGAGTGAGCCAGCAGATGGAAGACCTCTCTCTCTGCCTCTGCCTCTTTGTAACTCTGTCTTTCAAATAAATAAATAAATCCTTAACAAAAATAAAAAATAAGATGGCCAAGAAAGTCAAATGATAGGCTTAAACGTGGCGAGGACAGTTCATTCCCAAAAAGGTGAAATCATTATAGAATCCCTAATTAACATCTCACACCTTAAATCAGAGTATGAACAGTGTATTTCTATGAGTCTGCTGACACGAGTCTGCTGACACTCTCTCCTCCTTTGCCTTTTGTTTTTTTTTTGACAGGCAGAGTGGATAGTGAGAGAGAGAGACAGAGAGAAAGGTCTTCCTTTGCTGTTGGTTCACCCTCCAATGGCCGCCACGGCTGGCACGCTGCGGCCGGCGCACCGCGCTGATACGAAGCCAGGAGCCAGGTGCTTATCCTGGTCTCCCATGGGGTGCAGGGCCCAAGGATTGCACTCCCTGGCCACAGCAGAGAGCTGGCCTGGAAGAGGGGCAACCGGGACAGAATCCGGTGTGCCGGCGCCGCAAGGCGGAGGATTAGCCTAGTGAGCTGTGGCACCGGCCCTTCCTTTTGCTCTTAACAACTGAATGCTGATGGGCATGGGACTCGGAGGTCAGATGAAGCCGGACACCACCTGCGACCCTGAGGCACTCATCCGAGTCTGAATGCTCTGACATCGATCAGAGCCGTGCTCCTCAGCACTGCTGTCGGCAGCCTCCTGTCTCACTTCTACTTTATTGTTATAAAAAAAGGGGGAAATATCCTAATTGTTACCAAAGCACTAACGTTACCTCGATGCCGACACCGAGGACAGCGTGGGCAGCCTGCACTGTGGGCTTCCCGGAGGACGCCGCTCTGCAGCAGTGTGAAGGACGGCGAGTGCCCAAGCACAAGACAGAGGTGAAGAGGCTGGCCGTGTGCGGGCGGAGAGCAGGGCTCCCCGAGTGACGAGGCACAGTACGGGTCACGTCCACTCACACGGACCTGATCTCATTTCTTCATCTCCTCACTCTTTCATCTCATCCCACACCCTTCCTCGGCTTCCAGGAAGAATGAGAGCATGGTGAGATGATGAGAATCAGTCCTTGCCTAGCGTGGATTACTAACGCACAAGTGTTATTTGTCTTACTCAGCACGGTAAATGGTAGCAGCCACATAACCATCTAATGAGATGTTAAGAAGAAAGGCAGGTGCTCTTTACACAAAGACCACAGAGAACTCCAAACTCTCTGCCATGGAGCTAATGAACACCAATGATTACACAAACCAGTCACCTGTGGAAATGGCTATTGGCTTCCACAAGCCACTCGGAGAAGCCGGGATTCTCAACCCATCAACTGGGTAAGCAATAGCCTCTGACTCCAAGTGAGACCTTCAGTCCCAGAAACGTTCAACAGAACGTCACTCAGTGTCCTGGCTGGGTATTCTGTCGACTAAAACACACTCGATTCTGCTGCCAGTATTGGCACAGTGGCTAAGACGGCAACTGCGGGGTTGGCGTGGCACAGCAGGTTAAACCACTTGTTACCCTAGCTTCCCATATCAGAGAGCAGATTCCAGTCTTGGCTGCTCTGATTTGGATCAGCTCCCTGTTAATGCACCTGGGAAAGCAGAGGAAGATGGCCTGATTATTTGGGCCCCTTCCACTCATGTTGGAGACCCAGGTGGAGTTCCAGGCTCCTGGTGTCAGCCTGGCCAGCCCTGGAGGCTGTGCCCATCTGGGGAGTGAATCAGTGAATGGAAGAGATATCTCTGTCTGTCTCTGTCCCTTTCAAATAAAATAAATAAATCGTTAAAGAAAACGGGGCATCCTGCATCCCAAACCAGAGTCCCAGGTCCCTCCCTCCCTCCCTTCCTTTTTTTCTTTTTCAGGCTTCTTTAAAAAAATATTTTATTTATTTATTTTAAATATAGACTTAAAGACAGAGAGACAGAAGACAGAAAGGTCTTCCATCTGCTCATTCACTCCCCAAATGGCTGCAATAGTCAAAGCTGAGCTGATAAGAAGCCAGGAGCCAGGAGCTTCTTCCAGGTCTCCCAGAAGGGTGCAGGGTCCCAAGGACTTGGGCCATCTTCTACTGCTTTCCCAGGCCATAGCGGAGAGCTGGATGGGAAGAGGAGCAGCTGGAAAGCTGGGACTTGAACTGGTGCCCATACGATGCTGGTGCTGCAGGTGGAGGTTTAGCCAACTAAGCCACAGTGCTGGCCCCCCAGATCCACTTCTGATTCCAGCCTCCTGCAGGTTCACACTCTGGGAGGCAGTGGGGTATGGCTCAAGTACTTGGGGCTCTGACATTCAAATGGGAGACTTAGGCTGAGTTCCAGGCTCCTACCTTTGGCCTGGCCCAGCCTCAGCTATTGAAGGCATTTGAGATGTGACCAGATGATGCCTCTGTCTTGCTCGCTTTGTCAATTTCAAATAAATAAAAATAAGAAAGAAGAAAAATCAGGGACTTGATTCAAACAGAATGTTAAAAAAAGGGCACTTAGAAATTTGGAGATCTGAACATTGACTGGCTATTTGATGGCATTAAGAACCTGTTAATTTGTAGGTATGATAAACAATCACATCCTTATTATTACAGCCTTTAGCTTTTAGCAAAGAATGCTGAGTCAAGAGTATTGTTTAGTTGTCAGCATTCTAGCAGCCTGTAACACCAGCATCCCTCTATGAGACACTGGATCCAATCCTAGATACTGCTTCACTTCTGATTCAGCTCCCTGCTAATGTGCCTGGGAAGGCACTGGAAGGTAGCCCAGGTACCCTACCACCCACATGGAAGACCAGATGGAGTTCTAGGCTCCAGGCTTCCTTATGGCCCAGGCCCAGCTGTTTCAGCCATCTGGGGAGTCAATCAGCGGATGGAAGATGTCTCTTTCTGTTTGTCCCTCTCTGTTAACTCTTTCAAAAAATAAATCCTGAGGCGGCGAGCAGGGAATGAAAGGCAGAGTTCGAGAGACAGGGAGAGACAAGACACACAGAGAGAAATCTTCCATCTGTTGGCTCACTCTGTGGTGGGCCAGGAGGAAGCAAGGAGCCAGGAGCTTCCTCTGGGTCTCCCATGTCAGTGGCAGCAGCTCAAGCACTTGGACCATCTCCTACTGCTTTCCCAGGCCACAGCAGGGAGCTGGACCAGAAGTGACGCAGGGCCCGATGCTGTGGCTTAGTGGGTAAAGCTGCCCTTTGCAGTGCCAGCATCCCATATGGGTGCCAGTTTGAGTCCCAGCTGCTCCACTTCCAGTCCAGCTCTCTGCTATGACCTGAGAAAACAGTAGAAGATGACTCAAGTCCTTGGGCACCCATGTTGGATACCTGGAAGAAGCTCCTGGCTCCTGGCTTCGGATCGGCACTGCTCCAGCCATTGCGGCCATCTGGGGAGCAAGCCAGCAGATGGAAGACCTCTCTCTCTACCTCTGCCTCTGTGTAACTCTGCCTTTCAAATAAGTAAACAGTCTTTTTAAAAGAGTCTTGTTTAATGCTGAATAGTCAGCATTCACACATTATCTGGCAAATACTTATATTTTGTAAATCACTGATGGATGCAAGAAATGTGTACTTTTTTAAAAGATTTATTTATTTGAAAGTCAGAATTACACACAGAGAGAAGGAGAGGCAGAGAAACAGAGAGAAAGGTCTTCCATCTGCTGGTTCACTCCCTAATTGGCCTCAACAGCCAGAGCTGTGCTAATCTAAAGCCAGGAGCCAGGAGCTTCTTCTGGCACTGCAGGTGCTGGCTTTATCTCCTATGCCACAGCGCCAGCCCTGTGAACAAACTTTTTTTAAAAAGTTGTATTTATTTGTTTGAAACAGCTACAGAGAGAGAGAGAGAGAGAGAGAGAGAGAGAGAGAGAGAGAGAAAGAATCTGCCATCCACTGGTTCACTCCTCAGATGGCTGCAATGGATAAAGCTGAGCCAGGAGCCAGAGGCTTCTCCCAGTTCTCCTACATGGAGGCAAGGGCTCAAGCACTTGGGTTATCTTTTGCTGCTTTTCCCAGGCCTTTATCAGGGAGCTGGATTAGAAGTGAAGCAGCGAGGACATGAACGGGTTCCCATATGGTATGCTGGAGTGGCAGGTGACAGCTTTACCTGCTATGCCACAACACTGGCCCCACAAATTTTTTTTAATGCTGGGAAAAAGAGACATAAAAAAAGTTGGGGAAAATAGTTGCAAAAGAATATGCACCTTGGGGCCGGCGCTGTGGTGTAGCGGGTTAAGCTGCAGCCTGCAGTGCCGGCATCCCATATGGGCGCCAGTTCAAGACCCAGCTGCTCCACTTCCCATCCAGCTCTCTGCTGTGGTCTGGGAAAGCAGAACAAAATGGCCCAAGTCCTTGGGCCCCTGCACCTGCCTAGGAGACCCGGAAGAAGCTCCTGACTCCTGGCTTCAGATCGGTGCAGCTCCTGCCATTGTGGCCAACTGGGGAGTGAACCAGCAGATGGAAGACCTCTCTCTCCCTCTCCTCTCTCTGTGTAACTGACTTTCAAATAAATAAATAAATCTTTAAAAACAAAAACAAAATATACAACACAATACAACCTTCTAACAGCACCTGCACTGGGAGACGAGGCTGAGAAGACAAGCACAGGAACAAGAGTCACAGGAGCCAGAACCATAGTCACTGGGGATTCAGGAAGGAGAACACAATTGGGAAGAGTTACTGAACCGGGCTTCCACTATTGTTGTAAAGTTCTACACCTTAAAGTGAGTCATGGACACAGAGGTGATTATCTTACTATCCTCCATGCCTTTTTATATTTCTGAAACTTAAAGAATAACAATAAAACAAACTCCCTTGAGCCCCTGAACCAAGTACCCTAACATTACAGGACCATTCAAACTGCGGTTACCCCTCTTTGATCACATTTCCCAGAGCTACTACCTTGAATTTTTTGTTTGTTATTCCTTGCTTCTATTTATAATCTAACCATACGTTGTGAATTTTAAATAAATTTAGCTTTGCCTGTGTTTAATGTGCATATGTGGTGTCACATGTGACAATGTGCTGGTCTGCATGTGCCTTGCTTTTTTGATGAAAAGGTAGTGAGAGTTATCCAAGCCAATGCTGTCACTGTCGTTCACTCATTTCCTCTGTGCGTGTGAACAAACCCTGCACGGCACTGAGGGACTTCAGAACTGCTTCCAGATTGTACAGATATCAAACGACACTGCTGGGAGCATCTTCACCCTTGTCTCTCCTGAAGTCCACGTGCAAGACTTCCTCTGGGATAACCATCAAGGGCAGCAAGGATAGCTGGTGGGGGGCGCCCGTCAACCGCTCTACTAGATGATGCCACACCGTTCTGCAGTGCCTGTCCCAGCTGACATTCCCACAGCAGCGCGGGAGAGCTCCCACTGCTCCACATCCTCGCCGTGTGGACAATTAGCCTTTGCCAGTTGGGTGAGAATGAAAACTGGAATGTGCAGGGTATTTTTTTGTTTTGTTTTAAGGACTTACTTGTTTATTTGAAAAGCAAAGTTCCAGGGGCAGGGAAGATTGCCCATCTGCTGTTTTATTCCTCAATTGGCCACAATGACTGGGGCTGGGCCAGGGTGACGCCAGGAGTCAGGAACTCCATCCAGCTCTCCCACATGGGTGCCTTCCAGGATGCAAATAGGCACATTAGCAGGAAGCTGGACCAGAAGTGTACAGCAGCCAAGACTCAATGCAGGCATCCTATACTAGATGTGGGCATCTCAAGTGGCGACTTAACTGCTGTGCCAAACCCTGCCCCAGGATAAATTGTTTTAACAAGGGATGAGACTAAGTTGAAGATGAGGCCTGCAGCAGATCATCCACATCAATTTGCAAGGAAAAAATCAGTCATTTGGGCTCTACTTGAGGAGGATTGACTATTCACAACACAAACCAAAGCCAAGACTATAGATATATCAGCTGTTCAGCTTATGCAATTTTGACTGAAAAATTAAAGTGGAACAAAATTTATCCTTAACAGGTGCTACAACTGTTGGATCCAATCAGCTGCAGGCAAGACCAGAAAAGTCAATGGAACTTCTAAACCACTGAGATCAAGACACTAAAGCAAAAAGAAGATGTGCCCTAAGAATCTATTTACATATGGGTAGTATGTTTTCATTTACAGAAAACTCAAGGGGCCAGTGCTGTGGCACAGTGGGTAAGGCCGCAGCCTGCAGTGTCATCATCCCATATAGCCGCCGGTTCGTATCCTGGCTGTTCCACTTCTGATCCAGCTCTCTGTTGTGGCCTGGGAAAGCAGTAGAAGATGGTTCAAGTCCACGGGCCCCTGCACCCACAAGGGAGACCCAGAAGAAGCTCCTGGCTCCTGGCTTTGGATCGGCGCAGGTCCAGCTGTTGAGGCCAATTAGGGAGTGAACCAGCAGATGGAATACCTTTTTCTCTCTCTCTGTCTCTCCTTCTCTCTGTGTGTAACTCTGACTTTCAAATAAATAAATAAATCTTAAAAAAACAAACCCTCAAACCTAAAGAAACTAACTGATGATGCTAGAAGACAGATATTGGTGGCCCCTGGCAGGGGCACTGACTGAAGAATAGAGGATGATGTAATTTGTCCTGCTTTGGATGGTGGTTACTGGAGTATATTTACTTTCACAATTCATGAAACTAAACAGCTAGGACCCATGCATTTTATTTTATATAAACTACACCTTAAAAAAGAAAATATTATTAGGAAATTGAATGGACTTGGAGCTAATATTTGCAAAGCCTGCCAGTTAAGATGCCCCTGTCTCTGGCCAGCACTGTGGCATTGTGCTAGGGCTACTGCCTGTAGTGCCAGTATCCCATATGGGCACCGGTTTGAGTCCTGGCTGCTCTGCTTCTGATCCAGTGCCCTACTAATGCACCTGTGAAAGCAAGAGAAGATGGTCCAAGTCCATGGGCCCCTACATCCACATGGGGGACCAGATGAAGCTCCTGGTTTCAGCCTGGCCAAGCCCTGGCCGTGCGGCCATCCGGGGAGTGATCCAGCAAATGGATCCCTCTCTGCCTCTGCCTTTCCTTCTCTGTAACTCTTTCAAATAAATAAATAAATTTTTAAAAAACAAAAGAAAAATGCCTCTGTCCCATATTAGAGTACCCACGTTCAATCACCAACTCTAACTCCTGATTACAGCTTTCTGCAAATGTGGATCCTGGGAGGCCACAGTTACAGCTCAAGTAATTGCATTAAACTCCTGGCTTTGGCTTCCTCCTTACGCTTTTCATCCAAATCCAGCCACTGTGGACATTTGGGGAGTGAACCAGCAGATGGGACTGCATTTGCTTTCTCTTTTTCTCTCTCTGCCTCCCTCCTGCCTCCCAAATAAACAATTAAAATAAAAATGTGCTATAGCAAAAGCTGTGCTTAGAGGTGCATTTATAGCCTTAAAATGCCAGGGGCTGGTACTGTGGTGTAACAGGTAAAAGCCGCTGTCTGCAGTGCCAGCATCCATATGGGCACTGCAGTGCCAGCCATATGGGCACTGGTTCAAGTCCCAGCTGCTCTGCTTCTGATCCAGCTCTCTGCTATGGCCTGGGAAAGCAGTAGAAGATGGACCAAGTCTTTGGGGGAGTGAACCAGTGGACAGAAGACCTTTCTCTCTGTCTCTCCCTCTCACTGTCTGTAACTCTACATCTCAAAAAAATAAATAAAAAATCTTAAGAAAAAAAGAGAGATAGAGAGAGAAAAAAAAGATGGTTCAAGTCCTTGAGCCCTTACACCCACATGGGAGACCTGGAAGAAGTCCCAGGTTCCTGGCTTTGGACAGGCGCAGCACTGGCCATTGAAGCCATTTGGGGAGTGAACCAGTGGATGGAAGACCTCTATACCTCTGTAACTCTGCCTTTAAAATAAATAAATAAAATCTTTTTAAAAAAACCCAGATGCTATTTATGTTAGAAAAAAAACAGAATTAATCTAAAGAGAGTAGAAGGAAAAAAATAAGATAGGAACAGATATTAATGCCACAAAACATAGAACAGAGAAAAATCAAACATATATCAGAGAAAATCAAAAATTTAAATTGATAAATTATTGGCAAAAATTATTAAGAAAAATAAGAAAAACTATAAATTACTAATACCAAGAATGATAAAAGGAACTTTACTAGGAAACTATAGACTTTCCTAAAATAGTAAGATATTGTGAAGATCTTTATGCTGCTAACTTTGAAAACTTAGGTGAAATGGACAAATCCTTCAAAAGCAAAATCAACACATGAAGCCAAAAACTCTCACTAAAAAAGGTCAACCAACACCATACGAGCCCCAGAGACTCCAAAGAAGGCAGGAGACGCTCCACAGGCAACAGGCCAGCTGGGCGCAAATCAGCGCCGGAAGTTCCAGGAAGTGATGACTTCCCGGAAATGTTCTCTAGATCTTCATTTCAGAAAACCTAGCCAGACAACGGCACAGGACCAGCAGCCCATAGCAAACAGCTGCCCCCTGCCAGGGCCAGTGGAAGCCTCGTCTTTCCGCTTGGCTTTGTGCCCATCACAACGTGCTGCCCTTGACCATTTCAGCTGACCTGTCCACACCCACGTGACCACACGCTCTTCTGCTCCCTCAGGCCCCAGCCTTCCTGATTCCACAGGAGATCCAACAACCACACACAAACAGGCGGGGCTGCGGAAGCACCGGTGCTGTGTGCTGTCACCCCCAGAGTGTCGTACCCTACACGTGGATTCTAGTTCGTTATCTGACAGAAGTTTGTGCAGTACCAGCAGAAACTTTAGAGAGACTACAGAATGGCTTAAAAAAAAATCTACAGATGTGTTTGTTGAATAACCAAAAGAAACGAACTAAGAAGAAGCAGAGACCCCATGGTCCAGATCCCAATATGTTTGTGTGTATGAATTCTTCATCATAAAATCAAACTCTGAAAACTTTAGTTTTAGTTTCTTTTGGGAAAGGAAAGAATGGCAAGAAAGATGAGCGGGAGGGAGGGGAGAGAAAGGGGAGGGGAGCAGAGATTCCCACTAACAGAACTCCAGACGGTTTCCCCACATTGTGCCCTGCACATCAGAAAGGAAACCAATGATACACAAAGTATTTCAGGGAACAGAAATAAAGGAGGGGGACACTTTCCACACCAGGTCAATTTTCCTATAGTGTGCTGGGCACCCAAATGATCCTCAAGTGATACAAAACAACAGGGGTTCATATGATCTTATCTGTCAGTTGTGGACTGGCTGCAGCTCTCAAGGCCATGGGCTTGCTGTGCCTGCCATCTGTGTCTTCTTTGCTGCAAGCTTAAGGAGCAGCCCCGCAGCTGACACTTGGTGTTTTCATGTTCCAGTATCAGAGCACAAAGAGCAAGAAGGCTGACAGAGACCTAACAGTGCTTGACGCTTCCCGCTCAGCCATGATGGACTTCAGCTCCATTCACGTGCCATTGGCCAAAGCAAGTTACACCGCCAAAGCCCAACTCAGCGGGGAAGGAATTTAGTATTTTTTTTTAATCACAGGCATTGCTGCAAATCATAGGGTAATAGGCAAGGAACTATCTCTTTGGAGACAAACAGAATGACTATTTATAAATAGCAATAAATAACTTACTACCCACTCAGTTTTAGTAGGTCAGCACAGCCTTGATCCAGTATCTGAGAAGATCACAAGAAAGAAAAATTACACTCAAAATGTAGATGTGAATGTTCTAAATAAAACACCAGCATCTTGATTTTGGCAATACATAAAAGGCATGGGAAAGTTTTTAACAACAGACTGAATTTTTACAACAGACAGTTCATCAGAATTTCTAAGTTTTCTCATGTGAGTTTTTGTGGGATTCTTCAAAGGATCTGTCCACATTGTTGAGTCAGATTTACTGATGCAGTTATTCATGATATTCATGATAGCCCGCGTTTGATGTCTGTCGACGCTAGTCACATCCTTCTTCAGGCCTGACACTAGGAACTGTGTTCTCTCTTCCTTTCTTGATCACTCTTTTTTTTTTTTTTTTTTTTTTGACAGGCAAAGTGGATAGTGAGAGAGAGAGACAGAGAGAAAGATCTTCCTTTGCCGTTGGTTCACCCTCCAATGGCCGCCGCACCGCGCTGATCCTAAGGCAGGAGCCAGGCGCTTCTCCTGGTCTCCCATGGGGTGCAGGGCCCAAGCACCTGGGCCATCCTCCACTGTACTCCCTGGCCACAGCAGAGAGCTGGCCTGGAAGAGGGGCAACCGGGACAGAATCCGGCGCCCCGACCAGGACTAGAACCTGGTGTGCCGGCGCCGCTAGGTGGAGGATTAGCCTAGTGAGCCGGCCTTGATCACTCTTATCAGTAGTTTAGCTTTTTATTAATCTTTAAAAAAAAAAAAACAGCCTTTGGCTATGTTGATGATCTCAACTGTATATTGTTGGGTTCTATTTGGGAATATTTCTTAGTTTTTTTTTTTTTTATAGATTTATTTACCTATTTAAAAGGCAGAGTGAGATAGGGAGAAACTGAGGAAGTGAGGCCTCCCATTTGCTGGTTTACTCTGCAAACGCCTGCAACAGCCAGAGCTGGGCCTCACTGCAGTCAGAAGCCAGGAGCTCCACCTCGGTTTCCACGTGGGTAGCAGGAACCCCAGCACTGAGTCCAGCACCGGCTGCCTCCCAGGCATATCAGCAGGAAGCTGGGTTGGAAGCAGAGGATCCAGCGCTCAAACCAGGTACTCTGAATGGGACTTGGGTTTCACAGGCCACTGTGTCCCAGCACCCACCACTCGTATGGTCTCACAGGCCACTGTGTCTCAGTACCACCACTCGTATGGTTTTCAGGTCTATAATCATGGAGGATATTGGCTGGCAGTTTTCTAGTAACAATTCCATGTGCTCCTGGCCTAGCTGAAAGTCGCCCTGTGAAACAGATTAAATAATGTTCACCCCTCCACTTCCTGAGTTTGTTCCATGGAATTCATGAATGAATTCACCTTCAGCTGACATTTTCCTTGCAGCAAAGTTTTAAATTAATAATTCAATTATTTAATAGATATAACATTATTCCAATTTGTTACTCCAATTTTCTAATTTTTTTAATGATTTGTTTATTTGAAAGAGTTAAACAGAGAGAGAAGGAGAGGCAGAGAGAGAGAGAGAGAGGTCTTCCATATGCTGGTTCACTCCCCAACTGGCCACAATGGCCAGAGCTGTGCTAATCTGAAGCTAGGAGCTTCATCTGCCCTCTCCCAGATGCATTAGCAGGAAGATGGATCAGAAGCAGAGTAGCTGGGATTTGAACCAGCCACTACAATATGAGATGCAGTCGTCTCAAACAGTGGCTTAACCTGCTGCACCACAACACCTGCCTTTCTTCTACTTCCTACAAGGATTCAAAGCTATAAGCTTCCCTCTAACCACTGCTTTGGCTGCATTCTTCCTCCGGGTCTCCCACATGGGTGCAGAGGCCAAAGGACTTGGGCCATCGTTCACTGCTTTCCCAGGCCATAGCAGAGAGCTGGATCAGGAGTGGAGCAGCCAGGACTTGAACCGGTGTCCACATGGGATACTGGCATTGCAGGTGGCAGCTTTACCCACTATGCCACAGCGTCAGCTCCTCTATTTTATTTTTTTAAGTTTATTTTATTTTAAAGTCAGAATGAGAGGGAGGGACGGTTACAGAGAGATATCTTCCATCCACTTACCCCAAAATGGCCACAATAGCCAAGGACCAGGAACCCCATTTGTGTCTCCATGTGGGTGACAGGGCTCTTGAACTACCATCTGCTGCCTCCTCTGGCATGCATTAGCAGTGAGCTGGATGAGAAGCAGAGGTGAGACTTGAACTCAGACGCTCTGATATGGAATGTGGGCATTCCAAGTGGTGGTTTAATCCACTGCACCACAATGCCCACCCTCAGTGAGGTTTTAAATTAATTGATTAATGAATTATTTTTAAAGATCTATTTATTTATTTGAAAGGCAGAGTTAGAGACACAGAGAGTGAGAGATCTTCAATCTGCTGGTTCACTCCTTAAATGAGGGCAATGGCCAGGGCTGGCCAGAACAAAGTCAGCTCAAGTACTTGGATCGTCTTCTGCTGCCTTCCCAGGTACATTAGCAAAGAGCTAGATTGGAAGTGGAGCAGCAGGGACTTGAACTGGCACCCATAAGGAGTGCCAGCATCACAGGCGGTGGCTTAGCCTGCTGCTCCACAGCGCTGGCCCCTCTAGTTCTTGTGTGTTTTTTGTTTTTGTTTTTTAAGATTTATTTCTTCAAAATGTAGAGTAACAGAGAAAAAGGGAAACACACACACATGAGATTCTTCCATCTATTGGTTCACTCCTTGAATGGCCACATCTGGGGCTGGGCCAGGCAAAGCCAGGAACCAGGAACTCCATCCAGGTCTCCCATGTAGATGGCAGGGGCCCAAGTACTTTAGTCATCCTCCAATACCTTCCCAGATGCATTAGCAGGGAGCTGGATTGGCAGCAGAGCAGCTGAGACTCACACTGGCACTCCAAAATTTCATGCCAGCGTTGCAAGCAGCTTAACCCACTGCACCACGACACCAGTGTTTTGTATTTTGGTAACTCATCTCTTTCAAGGAATTTGTATTTTGGTAACTCATCTCTTTCAAGGAATTTGTCCATGTCATCTAAGTTGTCGTATTTATTCTCATGAAGATTTTCACATTGTTCCTTCAACACCCCTAAGTTATGTGTCTTTTATTCCTGACATTGGTAATTTGTGTTCATTTTTTGGCTAGTCTAGAGTTTTATCATTTTTTTCAATGACCCAACTGTGGGGTCATGATTTTCCAATAGTGCTTTCTATTTGAACCCTGCCTTTCACTATGCTTTTCCTTCTACTTACTGTGCACTTCATTAGTCCTTTTTTAGCTCTTTTTTTTTTTTTTTTTTTTTTTTTTGACAGGCAGAGTGGACAGTGAGAGAGAGAGACAGAGAGAAAGGTCTTCCTTTTGCCGTTGGTTCACCCTCCAATGGCCGCCGCGGCCGGCGCGCTGCGGCCGGCGCACCGCGCTGATCCGATGGCAGGAGCCAGGAGCCAGGTGCTTTTCCTGGTCTCCCATGGGGTGCAGGGCCCAAGCACCTGGGCCATCCTCCACTGCACTCCCTGGCCACAGCAGAGGGCTGGCCTGGAAGAGGGGCAACCGGGACAGAATCCGGCGCCCCAACCGGGACTAGAACCCGGTGTGCCGGCGCCGCTAGGCGGAGGATTAGCCTAGTGAGCCGCGGCGCCGGCCCTTTTTTAGCTCTTTAATAGCAAATCCTGTACCACTGATTTTAGATCCTTCTTCTTCTTTTTTTTTTTTTTTTTACTTTTAATAGTTACTTGCTTATTTAAAAAGCAGTGTGAAGGGGGACAGGGAGTCAGTGAGGAAGAAAGAGAGAGAGAGAGAGGAGAAGAGAGAGAGAGGTCCCCAAATGCTGCAACAGCCAGGGTTAGGCCAGGCTGGAGCCAGGACCCAGGAATTCCATACAGGTCTCCCACATGGATGTCAGGAACCCAAGTCCTTGAGCCATCATCTGCCCTCTCCCAGATGCATTAGCAGGAAGATGGATCAGAAGCAGAGTAGCTGGGATTTGAACCAGCCACTACAATATGAGATGCAGTCGTCTCAAACAGTGGCTTAACCTGCTGCACCACAACACCTGCCTTTCTTCTACTTCCTACAAGGATTCAAAGCTATAAGCTTCCCTCTAACCACTGCTTTGGCTGCATTCTTCAAATTTTGATATGCAGTGAGGGAAGATATAATGTTTTTTTTTACAGTCATCATTGAACTTCATATAATTAAGTCCAAAAGATTTTCTAATTTCCTCTTTGATTTTTTTTCTCTATTGTATAGATAATTTAGAACTGGCTGCTTGTTTTCCAGATACTTAAATTTCCTAAATATTTTATTGTTATAGATTCTAATTTGATTCCATTTTAGACAGAGATTTCAATCCTTTTAAATTCACTGACAGTTCTTTTATAGCTTAGTGTTGTATTTGCACTTGAAGGCCAGCACCACGGCTCACTAGTCTAATCTTCTGCCTGCGGCGCCGGCACACTGGGTTCCAGTCCTGTTTGGGGAGACGGATTCTGTCCTGGTCGCTCCTCTTCCAGTCCAGCTCTCTGCTGTGGTCCAAGAGGGCAGTGGAGGATGGCCCAGGTGCTTGGGTCCCTGCACCCGCATGGGAGACAGGGAGGAAGCACCTGGCTCCTGGCTTCAGATCGGTGCAGTGCCAGCTGTAGCGGCCATTTGGGGGGTGAACCAACGGAAGGAAGACCTTTCTGTCTCTGTCTCTCTCTCTCTCACTGTCTAACTCTGCCTGTCAAAAAAAATTTGCACTTGAAAAATAAAAGTATATCCTCTTTTTTGGTATAATGTCCCACAAATTTCAGTTAATTCACGTTGGTTGGTACTGTTATTCAGATCATGTCTTCACCAACTTTCTATTTGCTTGTTCAATCACTTATTTAGGAAAGTGTGCTGTGCTCTCCAACTATATTTGTTAATTTGTCTTTAAGTAGCTGCTTTATTTATTTAAAGCTCTATTATCACATGTATTTAAAATTTTACATTTTCTGATGAGTTAACTTTCTTATCATTATGACATCCTTCTTTATTCTAGGTATTCCTTGCACAATGGACGGCATCTAAGTCATTCT